TTTTTTTTTTTCCACATCTGTATTACGAATCTTTTGAGACTTCATCGTTTTAGTGGATAGTTTCAGAAGTAAGCAATATTTATGAACGTTATTCCGTTTAGGCAAACGACCGGAATCCCAGAGGAACGATACGACGAAGATTAATCACTAAAATACAATGGCAAGATAAAAATTTAAGCATCCTGGATTTTGCTCAATGGTTTCTCAATTAATATTCGTTCATTAAAATTTTCAGATTTACCATTATGTAGCTTTCTAAAATACATGAAGTTCGATCATATTAACGACAAAAAGCAAAAGCATATAATAAATTTCAATTGTCGATGGAAAATTTAAGCAACACCGTCCATAATGTTATATCATACAAAATGAATAAACTTCGATTACCAATAAATAGCGTGCAACACGTCCCCAAGTACGAAATATCGATATTGATTAATCTGTTGCAAATATTTTACCTCCGTTCCATCTGCTTTCCCCATTAATTAAGAAACTTTCGACAACAACGAAGATTCGGCATACTTCATCGACTTTTTTCCCACGAACGTGGTGTACAATCGAGGCTACTGAAACAAGGAATTAAACGATGGAAGTACAGTGGCGCGAGTTGTCTCGGTATAAAGCTTGAAACCGGCTAATGGTCGATAATGGAACTGCCTGAATGGCGGTATAACCAAATTATGCCGTCGACTGGCTGCTCGTGATCCAGCAAACAATATTCACAAGGGGGACACGTCATTATATACGTATAATTCGACGAAATCTGCTCTCGTTCCGACTAGTTGTTCTTCATTTGTCCCCCTGCATGTCTCGCTCACAATTTTCCTTCGTGATTCACTGTCCTCCACCAAATCTGATCCCGTACCAAGTTCCCCAGAGATCGCGCAGATCCACGATTCGTAAGTATCATCATTTTAGATTTGTACATTTGTCTTGTATCTATTTCAAATTTAAAAAATCATTCATGGCCTTGTTTTAACTTCAAATCCTCAATTTAGACCGACAAAAATTTCAAAACATCAGTGCGAAAAATTCCGGTTCAATGCTAGCTTTTGACTAGGGATATTTTGTGCTTAGAAAACCGATGCACGATTTGTAATTTAATAATTTTACTATATTTCTCGGATTGCTAGAAGCATTTCGGTGAAAAGTCATATTTTCCTGTTCTTGACGAACACGGTTCCATTAAATTTAAACTAACTTCTGGGAAAAAGGAGAAATCTTCTCCGGAATGACAGACAAATGCGTTTCGCAAATGGTTTGTACAAATTCGAAAGTTTGTTGACGTTGAGATGACAAAATTTCGCGGCAAGTTTTGAATGGGAGGAGCAACAGGCAGGAGCGTAATGATTTCCATTGACAGGATTTATCGCAAACGTCGTCCAGCGAGGAGACATTAGCGGATTAGCTAACATTTGCATTACCTTGAGCCGTCAGCTGTAATTTTCGTTAGCAACACTTATCATACCGCGGATCGCATCGTGTTTGCGCCATGTTGCTCGCGTGCCACCCCCGTTCCTGTCCTGACAGTCTTAAAACTTGTTAGCCTTACGCTTTGACAAACAGTTATTAGCGGCTCTATTTCTGATCCCATTAGTCTCGAGCTACTGACGCTGTAACTTCATGGCGGTTCAAAGCTGAAGTTTAATCGAACTTGTTCGCAGACACACACATTTTTGCATAGACCTAACGTGACTTTATGCAGAGCAACGGAAACGCAGATATTCAGCCAGTTATTAAGGTTACGTCGAATTCTCAAATTCGAATTTTCAACAAGTTGCATGCTTGAATCACGCGCCATATTTTTCAGTCGAATTTTTTTCAATGTAAACTTGAAGTTGGATACGATATTGTATTGAATTTTAAACGTAAAGATAGACCCAAATTCTCGATCGAATCTTTGTTGCAAGGGATGAGAAGTAACTCTTATTTTAAAGAAATCCGTTAAACTATCTCCTGGAAACTTTTCTATATTTCAAACTTTTCCATTCCCATTTCGCGGAGTAAGTGCTGCCAGTATAAGTTGATATAAGCGATTGAATTTTCACCGTTATTTCATCGAAAGTTCGAAGTGGTACACGACGTTCCACATCCTGTTTCCTTATGCCGTAACGATCCAGATTAAAATGGAATATTCCATGTTAATCGGAAGCGGATCGTTACTATATTCGTTTCTGCAACAACTGATGTATTATTCAATGTATCTCTCGGGGTAACGGGCACCGTTAATTGACATATTTGGCGGTGAATCGAGAACTTCGCAACCGATGACCTTTCGTGTCCAGATGTAACGACCTTGACCAAACCGATACCTCGTTTACGAATCGATATACCAACGTCGTGGATAGAAACGTGATAACGAGTTGTAAAACACGTTTCGACTTTTGTATAAAATTCCCATCAAACGTTACAATAGGATAGAACCTTGATTATCCGATCTAACCGTGACATATTCAGACAATCGAATAATTTTACTTTCGTGCGAGGGGAGATCGTTTATTTCAAATTGTTTTGCAAACAATGTTAAAGAAAAGGACGAAAATTTCGGAATGAAAAATGTAATGATTCCTTTTAATCTCTGTTCTTGTTTTCTGTGATTATTTCTATGAGGCGCCGTGTTCCCAAATTTTTGATTAAACGGTTTGAATCTCCCTTTCAGATTTTCTTCAAAAGAAAAAAACCTTGAATTTTAACTGGAATTCTAATTTGTACATTGTCTGTATGATAATATATTCAAATTTGGTTCCGTTCGTAATAGAATTCTACGTTTCAGTAGGTCCCGATGGTGTGAGAAAGATTACAGCAACCCCATTAATCTCGCTGAAAGTTACCTTGGGACGCGTCGTTTCATTGGCCTTGTAAAGGATTAACTCTCACAAAGATGCTATTGTATCACTGATAAATGACAGATATGAAGGATCCATTGTTTATCAGAATTTTCATATATCTAGTCAGTCAATTTTTATATCAATCTGAGCAATTTAGCTCTCGAGTCCTAGTTCACCGAGTCCTCTAACGAAAGAGAGCCAATCTTTTAGCCAAGACAAAGGAGATCAGCAGAGGCACAACATCATTTCATGCGTGTACACGCGAACGTCATTGATTGATAGTAGTATAGGTAATCCCTGTGCTCGTGCAAGAGCGAAGCGCAATCGCAATCGGAACATCAATCTAAGCATCGAATAATTACCATTAGCCTGGAAATTAGTTCCAAAAAGTCGATGCTCGTTTGCATACGCCGTTCTGTAATATCCTATGGCACAATTCGGTTTTCGACTTCCATTGCTAAAATTATCGCAACATTGCTGCACAGGTGGAGCAACATCAACCTCATCGTGACGCTAACCAAATCATTATCGTTTAGGTTTGAAGTCAATACGAGTGGCAGCTCATGTGACGTTAATGCGATTTAAATTCAGTTATTTCGATGAGTTGATCGATAAGCGGGCATCGGTTTGCAGGTGTTTCAGATGCATCATGGTCGTCATGAGGCTCGCGAAACAGGTGTTCGACACCTGAGCAACGACGTGTTCGCCGAGTTCCGCTCCGAAACCATCTTCAAAGGCGAACAAACCACCAGGCGGGGGGAAGAGGAATGGTCCCTTGGGCCTTTGGCGTGCCTCTTGTCCTCGTTTCTGCTCTGGGTCTTATTCTCAACGGTTACGTGCTCCTCGTGGTTCTTGGACTTGGCAAACAGGTAAATCCTCCCCTCCTTTGCAACTTTATTATTCTAATAAATTATAAATTATTCTTTGTCGTCTAACTATCGTTAGATAATTCGACGCATGATATTGGGAACAATTGTATAAACATGTGCATTAGTCATGCATCAGTGATCTTTGTTCTTGATTTTCTTAGATTTTTTCATAGATTGAAAAAAATTTTACATATGAAGTATGAAGTATATTCTGTGCACTGAATGTATTCTATGCATTTTCGTATCTTGTTTCATAAAAATTCGCAGTCTATAAGTATAAATTGCTGCCCCTAAGAGTAAACGCTTATTATATTTTTCATACGCTCCTTTCCATGGATAGTAATTGTCTAAAAAAATCTGGAAATATTCGTACGAAACGATCTAAACGATCTAAATTAAGATTATCGTTTAGAAGAGAACTTGTTCGAGACGAGGTAAAAGAGTAATTCAATCAATTACGCTCGAAGGAAAAAAGAAAAAAGTGGAAGAATTTAAACTTGCAAACGATTTCCAACCGCAAATATTTTCACGTAAGAGAGTGAGACGATGGTTGTTCGCGGACAATAGATCACTAACACTAACACTAGCAGGAATTATTCAATAGCCTATCGGTCTTCCTCGACAGTTGTGTCGTCGGGGACAGAGGGCGTACAATAAAGTTTGATAGCGTATGAAAAGCTACGCGATAAATCGCGCGAAAATTCATTAGCTTCCGACTTGAATAATAGACTAGTTGAAATCGCATAGGCGTTTAACCAAAGAATCGCGGCGTGTTCCCGATTGAATTAGAAAAGCGTTTGGACTACTCTTTAATGAATTGAAAGCCCCTGTACAGAATCGAAGCAATTATAGTATCGGTCTGGAATACGCTGGTCGGTCTGTTAAACTGATTGCGCGCTATATCTATGTTTGAATGCGTCTTGATCCAGTTAGGAGGATCTATTGTTGTAGTTTCCTCACAAACGTTCATGCAAATAAGCATCTGGTTAATTTTATGAACGGGCCAGGACGTTCGTTTCAGTGCCATACGTTTTCGAATAATTCTCCACGACTCCAATAACTAAATATCTACTCCGTTGTTAGATTAAATTCAGTAATTAAAAATTGCGATCTAACTAATCGAATGATAGTCCATATTATACATGTCAATTGCAAGAGAAAATTGGCTTGAAATCCTGATCTCGAGCAGAATCGCAGACGATTACAATTTCACAATGATAAAAGAATATAAAATGGCACCGAGAACTTAATCCTCTTACAGAAATTTCCAAAGATTCTTTTAAATTATAGAATCCCAGCGCCGGTAAAGATTAATACGGAGTTGAGATCCGACGATGGATGGATCTTCCACGGGAGGAGGATTCGAGCCACACGATTTTTCCAATAGCGGCTAATCCCCTTTAAAGCGGTTTCCTTTTTGATGGAGAAAGAGGGGGACCACCGCTTTTCTCGCGAAGCATGACATATTTCTCGACGGAGAAATGAGACGCGCGGAAGGGAAGTGACCACCCTCGAAATGGCCTTATGCTTTTACGCGATCCATTTTCGTGGGTGCCCTCTAAGCTGACCGTGGCAGCTTGAACAACGCGAGGTCGCTCGGTGGTTTGAAAAGATCGCATGCTTTTCGATATAACGTCGAGGACCGGACACGTTGAATGACAGCCGGCGAACTAGGTCGTGTAAAATGCGTTCCTTTGCTTCTCGAGACTCCTTGTCTCGACGTTTGCTACGTTGTTTCCCGTAAATAAACTTTTCCATTTCGAACAAACGTATACACAGGCAAGTAAAATACATCTTTCGAATCAAAAAAGATTGCGAAACAGACTGGATGATTTAAATGACGTTTAATGTAGAAATATGAATGCGAGGGAATTTTCAATCTTAGATGTTGCGTGTTAGCATATGTTTTGTAATATTCCCTATCCTCTACAAACTATTCTGCATACGTATTCTATATATTCTACATTCCATACTTTACGTATCTTTCGTATCGATATCTAATGATTCGCGAAACTATCTCTACGTAATTTGAATTCAACATTGTTTGTTTAGAAAATTTAGCAATTAGTAAGGCAAATACGATGCATTGTAAATTTGCCTTTTATCCAGCCGTAGTTGTTTCGCGCCGTAAAGAAATCAGCGAGAGAAGTAACGTTTAAGAAGGAGAGAGAGAGAGAGACAGGGATCGCGTTTCGCAAACAGCGAGAAGTTTAAATTACAAGATCCTGGCTGGAAATTAAGGTGTAGAGGAACTTTTGAAACCGCCGTTGAAAAGTTTACTTAACGAGTTAACCGCGACCGATGTCCGCAGACGCAGCAGCAGCAAACTGCCAATACTTTGTTACTGATACACTTGGGCGCAGTGGAGGCCGCTGTGTGCCTGATATTACTGATCTTTACTACTGGTTCCTGGCCGATCGCCGGCACCTGGTGCGTACTCCACGGTTTCCTCCTGACGCTTTTACATCCTGTCGCCCTTTGGACTGTCACTGGACTGAACTGCGACAGGTAAGTACTTACACGCACACCTTTCTATCTTTCTATCTTTCTGTTAAGCTTGTGTTCGAGATCGAATTCTCTTGTCTTCGAGTGAGTTTCTGATTGATAAGATTTTTCATGCAAGTTGGAATTTCTGCGATTTATCGTGTTAATCGAATTAAAACCAGTCTTAGAGATGCAAGAAATCTTAATACAACTGTTCTTTCAATTCTTCTTCATTTTTTCAACTGTGACAGTGTAAGATATTATTTGAAATGAACATTTTAAAGAATCAATGATCAATTCAAAGCAAACTCTAAATCATTCGCCAGTGACTGAATGAACACTGTTGAATAAATTTTATAATTACGTGACATTAAAGTAGAGATTATATCGCGGGACGATGCAACGATCGAAGCACTTAAGGAGAGCATCAATCAGTATTTAATTTGCGGTTGTTCGTCCACGAAACGAGGAGGAGCCATCGAATGAGAAATCCTTTGTTCTTCCATATACCGTACGATAGAAAAATCAAGTTCGTATCGGTGACGTTCAACGAGCCTTACGTGGCACAAAGTTGGCAAGCTTTTCAACGTGAGATGTCAATAGCGGTTGCCGGCATTCAGCTGCCGATATCTCTTTGGCCGTCAACCGACGCCAGGATCTTCGATTCAATCAGAAACCCTTCGACACACCAGTGTCCCGTCATTGCTGCTGATATCTTCCAGAGGCAAAGAGGAAGGGCCAACGTTCTCCTTCAAATTACGTCGTAGAAACGTGTAAATGTCACGATATCTTGCACCGTGACTCGTTCATCGATAATGAACACGGGACGGGACGTTTTATCGCGCCATTTTAGCCCTCGTTGTCAGCACAGTTGCTAGTACGTAATAAAAGTGTCAAGAGCAGTACAAGAGGGTGGTGTGTGATTCAATTACGCGAGAGACAGTTCGCGAATAGGTTCGATACATGAATAAAAATGAGAAAGAAAACTTTGTATAAACGTGAATAACGTTACTTGATCTTGTTCTCCTTGGTTATCATCCAAATAATTTGTACAAGAATTTATCGTTTAAATTCAAACGTTTTTGTTCGAATAACGAATATTACTAAATATTACTATCAGAGATCTTTATTCCATTTGCATTTAGATATAGTGCACGCACGCATATAGTATGCGTTGACGTAATTCATAGTTTAATTTATATGATCTTTAATACACGGATACCGAGTGTACATGCATGCACACGCGTATACCTCGTAAAGCAAACCGCATGTTCGCTATTATTGCAATAGCAATTCGAAACGGAAGATTAATCGATGAAATTTTATTAAGAGAACCGAGAGATATGGTGAAATTCGTTAACGTTGCCGATAATTTGGAAACTTCGGCGAAGCAACAATTCGGTATCACGGATTGATCACGAATAACTACACGAATTAAGGCGAAGGCTCAAGGATAAAAATAACAAGGAGACACGCGTGACTTTCATCGAATGGAAATATCGTGTCTGCCCGATCGAACGCGTTCGATACTTTATTTACAGCTCGCGCGAATTTAAACCGTCGCATTCCTTCCTCGACAGCGTCGTCGTGTCCTTTTTCTCCTCGATCTCGACACCCACACCTACTTTTTCATTATTCACTCATGCACATTGCATTCCGGGACGATCATTTAAGCACGGTGATCGCCCGGAATGGAACACGACTGCAAAAAGAGATTCGATTTCGAACGTCGTTGAAATGGAATTTACTTTCCAGTGAGTGTGCGAGGCCATCGGATTCGTAACGATAGAATCCAACGTTGGATTTATGTATCCGTGGGTTATTTTCTGTGCAGATATTACGCGATCGCTGCACCGTTACATTACGCCGCATTAGTATCACCTCGACGCGTTGCAGTTGGCCTAGCTGCATCTTGGACAGGGGCTCTGTTTTTGTGCGTGCTGCCCTTCTGGGGCTTGGTACCGCCTTACAGGTTTGTCCGTCGTCTGACAAATGATCTGTAGACTCTTGCACGATTCGATGAATATTGTTTAACGAAAGTAGACAGAGTACAAGTTACAAGTTTCTTTGTATCTAGCTACATTTACTTGACAATGAATAATATCGTAGATTTATATAAAAGAAAGCACGTGTACAACCAGTATCTTGTAACTTGTCCTAATTCATAATGATCAATTGATACGTTGTTGTAGAAATGAGCCCCGATTTATTGAATTTATTTGATTCACTCGTTCGCTCCTTTCGTAAGTTTTGCAAATATTCTCGTCTGTTTATTTCTCTTTCTAAGATTCGTGTTTTAAGAAACGTGTTAGATTTCGCTGGCAGCATTAATAAATTGAAGATGGTTGCGTGATGAATGTTTGGTGCAGTCCAAATAGCGTTCCGATTTCTTTATTCAAAGCAATATTTCATCCGCTGTAGCGTGTCAAGGTTGAGATTAATTAGATTCCATTTAAAATTGTTGAAGATCTTGCAAGAAGAAAAATAATTTCTTCGAATTAAACTAATCTAACTTTGAATCGATTCTTTTGATTTTTATTCCACGAAGTGATTTGTTTCTAGTTGATATACCAACATACAGTATATAAATGTCTTGAATTATTGAAATTAATCTACGACAAATGATATAAACGAAAATTTGCTACATAAAATATGCTGTCCAAAAAAAAATATCTTTTTTTAAACAATCTATCTTCCTTCGAATATTATCATTTTCTCTTCGAATATTACACAGAATGTCCCAAACAATTGGGTCAGGCGATAGTTTTGAAATAGCAAAAGGTCAGATTCTTTGTTCGACGAATGAAACTCGGTCCTAAAAAATTTTCTTATCACCTACATTCTTCCGCTTCGGTTCACCTTGCTCTTCCTGTGCAAACTTGCTTCTATACTAGCAGATAAAAGCATAACAACACTCTCCAATTTTATCTAGGTTTAAGCTTGTCTGGGCTAAATCCTCTGTAAAATTAATTAAGTTATCAGTGTCATTGAGACATCGAAGGGCCACAACAAATAGAACTTTTTAATTTATCTCGATTTCTCAAATTTCTTTGAACGTAAAGTACAGAACAAAATCAAATCAAATACTGTGAATTTTAGTATAACCTAACGATACTGTTCGAGGGGATTTCATAAATGATACATCGCCCATTGTTTATCGTTGATTATTTTCTATCACCAACAAAGAAAAAAGAAAACAGCGGACCAAGGAAAAATTTACACATCGAGATGTTTAATTTATCTTCTGACCTTGAAATGGTTTGGTTCAGTTGCACGAGATTGTTCTAGATCCCTATCCGACACAAAGCTACCCTAAATACCCAATTTTACACGGTCCTGAAGCAGAAGGGCGACAAAGAATTAAGTGTCTGCTGACTCTCTCTGCAGATACAGTCCAGGATTGGGCTGCTGCGCGCCGGATTTCGGCAACGACTCCTGGGGCTTGGCGGCGGCGCTTTACGGGGTGGTTTACGCGATTCTGGGCCTGGCGTTGCCCGCCATCCTCGTAACTGTCTGCAATTTGCGTGTGCTTGGCATCGCCCGTTACCATCGGCATCGCATCGCCAGCGCAATTTACGAAGTCACGCTCAGCGCCCAGGCGACCATCACTCATCAACGGAATCCGTTTTTCGTGCCGACTGTCACAGCACCTTCGGTCGTCAGCCCGCCTCGCTTTCACAGCGCGGCCAGGACGGTTCGTACATTCTCGTGATCTCTCTGTTTCTGTTTGCATCGCATAATTCCACCATCGTGCTGATACAGCGCGAGTAGACGTGCGGCGTCGCGTGGACGACGATTTCGCACGGCGAAGCACATGCGTGCGGCAGCAAGCGATGCTCCGTAATTTTCGTAAAGAGAGGATTTCCAGGTCAGGTTTGAATTAATTCCAAATCAAAAGCTGCGATCGTGTTTTCCACGATCTTGTACTTGGATAATTAATTTGGCAACGTGTCCGCTAAATTTCAAAGATCCCGTCCTTCGTTTTGCCCCGATGAATTCGTTCCGGTGATCGACGATTTTATTGCGTATTTTCACCGGTTGGTAGAAAATTTTGTTGATGCAGCGTGAAACGCTATTACGCGAATACGAGGAATATGTTTCCTCTAAATTATGTCGGATTAATTAATAATCTCACGGGCCGCGAAACTCAATTCACATTGGTCGAGCATTGTTCCAAAGGGCGACGAATTATCAAAGCCGAGACGAAAATTTTAATCACTCGCCGGATAATCACCGATTGATCATCCAGGTTTTAAATCAATCGATTCGATGGGAAAATGCGATTTAAAATCCCACCCAGGGATTTCTACGGAACGATGGCAAGTTACATCGATCGACGATGCGCTTCGGGACGATTATTTAGTTTGGCATTACGTTCAATTAACTCTCTGGGTACCTTTCGATTTACCTATTCGAATTAACAACGGACAAACACCCTCAATGATCTATCGTTTTCGCGTTAATCTTCCTCCGTAATAACCCTCTGACAATCACAAATTGATGGTATAATTCTATTTTCCTTTCATCCGCTCGTTTTACAATACGCGATTTAATTGTTGTGTGATTGAAATTATTCCACAGAGTATACACGTAGCAACAAGCTGGTATATTGAATTTCCAGGTAATGCAACTGGTTGGTTCCCTGTACTTGCTCTATTTCCCGTACTGCGGTCTCATTCTTTGGGAAGTTTGCGACGTCGGTAATAAACCGCATCTCTATGATCATCCGAAAGTTGCTTCATTGGCCTCGCTGCTACTCGCTTGTTCACCGCCTATCAACGGTCTACTATACGGCCTGAAATCGCAAACACTGAGGCGATCGGTTCAGAATTATTGGAGGAAGAAGGCGACCAAGTCGGAACTTCAACAAGTAATGTTCCAACGATTTGAAATAACTTGAAATAACGTCGAAATCTGGAGATAGATTTATGACTCCAGAGACAGATGCTTGATGCGATTCTATAAGAAATAACTAAACAAACGGATCTTTATACGAATTCATATTTTAAATAACACAATATTTTTATAGCAAATTGTTCTAATTATACTAAACGTATTTTTGTATCTTTTTGTATTATATATATATATATCTCTGCAATCTTGCATTTTCAGAATCAGTAGAAAAGAAATGACATTTCCTTTATAATTATTGATTTACAGTTACATTATTGGCACCAAATATTTGTTTCTCGATCTATGTATCGGCGAATGTTGAAACGTTCTTTCGTTCGAATTTTTCTTTCTAAAGATATATTTCTTTGGGATGCGCATGATAGACAAAATTGGCCGGAATTGATCAGTGAACAATTTAAGATTCTGTCTGCAATGAATCTATGCAAATTGAATCCCCTCGGAGGTCAGTGGCTGCAAAATTTCACTTTGATATTTCACGTGAAAAGTGCACACCATCATTACGGCGCAATGGATTCGATATTTTAAATTCCACTTTGTGAAGAAAGTTCTTGAAATTATTCAATCCTCCACTAAATCTTTTTCTTCGTAACGAATGATAAAAGAATTATGCAAACCGACAGCGGCACGCGATTCGTTCAATTCGATCGTCTTCAGAAAATTGTATTCGCTGATTCTCAAGCATTTTCATGAATATTTATCATACATGAGCGAAAGAAGATTTTTCAATTGTTCTCCATCTTCGTCGATTCTCTAGACTCTAGATTATAACATACGTGACCTCTTTTCTCGATCATTTTTAAATAGTTTCAATTTTAGAAGAGAAATAAATTTTCAATTTTCATCGTGCTGCTTAATCGAAACATCTCGTAAACTGAAGAAGAATGAATTTTAATCATTTCCTTCGTGTTTTACTTAAAATTGAGAGATAACATTCTTCAGATATTTCAACATATCTTAAAATTATAAAGGTAAAGGTTAAATTTTTCTCTTCTCTTTCTTTTTTTCTTTCTTTCTTTCTTATTCGTCGATTCATTGATTCTTTTCCATCGAGTTTAATAATCGAAATGATGGAAAAATTTTAATTTAGGAGATCCAAGCAAGAACACCGAGCGCAGCAGGATCGCGAAGACCGTCCGGAAGCGGAACTGGCTCTTTCTTTCCATTCCCGCCATTGCAGCGAAGGCTCAGCGAGGCTCTGCTGGCGCTGGGCTCCTGCAGAACCGGAAACAGCTTCGATAGCAATAATCTCGGTTTTCATCGAAGCAGGTTGCAACCTGCCGCCTCGTGCAATACACTTCGAGTACCTACTTCCGAATCAGGTTACAAGTCGCAAGTTTAATTTTCCCCTTTAAGTTTCCCTAATTTAAAACATGACTCTGAGATCTTTGAAATAAAATTAGAAATTAATTACTCGTCCTAATTCAAATACAATCCACGTTGTCATCTAACTGACTCAATGATACCCAGTCAAGTATATACCAGTGGTTCCCAACGTGGGACCTACGTCCTACAGGAGGCCAAAATAACAATGAATTTTTTGCATTTCTTTAAATGAAAATTTAACTTTCTAATTTTTTTCTTTCGTGGATGTCACGTTCGTTGGAAGCTTGTTCAAGTTAATAGCCTCTTAAGCCTCTTCCACGTCAAAAATTCATTTTTTGAATAACAAAAATTATGTGTCACAGAGATGGGGCATCAAGATTTTAGGGACGCTTAAGTGGGGCATGGCCAAAAAAGGGCTGGGAACCACTGTGTCTAAATATTATTTGTAAAATTTCTCTCGGTTAAGTAATGTAATTATGACGTTAACTTATGCACGCAGGGGAAAGCAGCAAATTAGTTAGGTCTAGCGCGAGTGCAGCTAGCCTGATGGGTCCTCATTACAGAAGCGACTTTATAGGAGCAGACGTAAATGCCAGCTGTTCTATAGCAATGAACGAAACACCGAGGAGGAGTCCGAGGATCCTTATAACGAGGGCTTACAGCGAGGATAGTCAAGATGGAGGTAGTCCACTACTGAGGAAATCTATTCTGGCCAATGTTCTTCCGTGCGATAGTATGCACCGTTCTACTGTTTTTTTTTTTTTTCTCTTGAGATTTGTTAAAAATCGTTCTCAAACAAGTACGTGACGAATTGTGTATAGACGAAAGCAGTGCACACAATCGATACATTATTCAAAGTTTCAAGATGTTGATTCAACAAACGATCTTTAGTAAAAATCGATCTGAAATTTTAACTTTTTTTACAATTTCTTTGTTGAATCTTGAAAGAGCTAACAAACCTGACAAACGCATCACCTTTTCACTTATACAAAAGATACGGCCGATTTTGTCAAAGATCAGATATCGGATCTTTGAACCTGTTTGCCCCAGAACGGAGATGGCGGCATTGCAGCACCGGAAGCGACAGCAGCACTGGAAGCAGCGAGGCGAGTGTATGGACGACGGGCGTCGCGCAGAAACTCGCCAAGGCCAATGCAAAAAGTACATCGGACATGTGGCCGGCATCGAAGAGATTCACGCGGGGAAAAAATTTAGAAGAGGGAGCGCTTCTAGTTGGCGCCAGGCCGAGCAATAACAGCGAGAGCAGCGATACCACGGACACCACGGCTACCACAACCACCACCACCACCATGCCCAGCAAGCTGACCGCCATGGTAAGTGTGCGATTTCGACCGGTTGAAACATTTTTGCGCGTTGCAATGACCTGCGTGTATGCAGACGAGATGTGTATCCAGCCTTGAGAATCCTGCAGCGCAGCGTGCAAAATCGATGACTTACTACGGCCAACCGGTTTTTCGTTACCAATGATCGACAAACGATATTTCGAATTCGTTTGTCGCGAATTAAGAACAAAGGGATATCTGACAAAATTAAAAAATCGCACAGAACGTGGTGTCCACTGTCCATTGTAAAATTTAAACGTTTCGCCTGCGGAAAGCACACGTTTTATTTGATTATCCTGTTGATGCATTCGTATTCGAATAGAAACGTCGCGTTAAAAAAAAATGGAGACACGCAGAATATTTCTCCATGACTTGAAAGAAAAATAATTTATTCACAACTATTCGAAAAAATACGTAAACTTTCTTCGTTTTATAATTTTGGCATCGTCATTGCAAAATTCGAGGTATACGTGCAAATTTTGTTGTAATAAATACTCATAAAAAATCGACGTTATTTCACCATCAATTCAGATCTAATTTAAGGCAGATTCGACGTCATGCGCGTGATGTTTGAACGACACGTGAGTG